TTTACATCGAAACTGTACCTATTTGCCACCTATTAACTATCTCATTACTGTGCATTTATAACAGGTTTTTAAAAAATTTTCAGACTCCATGCAGTGTTATAGCTGGTCCTGGGATGCCCTTCTTGGGCTACCCAAGAGACTAAAACTAGTCCGTGTTGAAAGATCTTCAACTGTTTATCCACAAATATCACAATTGGGCAACAATGGATGATGCTCTTAGGAGAGTAGAGGGAGACTAGTGGAGGGCCTGAAACCTCCAAGGAGGTCAATGAAGAGAGGTGAGAAGATGAGGCTACATAGGTCTATAAAACCAGGGAAGAAGCAAATAAGCAGAATCCTTGCCAAGGAGGGCAGCAGGAGGTGGTATGTAGAAGATAAGCAGGTTCCCCATCTATGAAGTGCAGTGGAAGGCAACAGGTAGAGAATGGATGGATCCCCATCTAGAAGGGGTGCTATGAGGTAGCAAGTGGCTGATAATACCCAACTACCACCATGACTACCCTAAGCCTTTCTGGAAGGCTCCATGGTGATGGAGCAGGCATGGTGAGGCAGGGAGCTCGAATGCCACGTGGCATGGCCCCCAAGTCTTTCATGACACCAATGTCACATAACAACCTGGACTTTGGAATATTAAGACATCAGTAAGAGAGGAGTGGGTGTATTTGTATATTTGCTTCTGAACGGTCTCTTGTTAAATATCATTTTATTGAGGGCTCCCACAGCTCTTATCACAATACATACATATATACATACATACATTGTGTCAAGCACATTTGTACATTTGTTGCCATCACCATTTTAAAAACATTTTCTTTCTACTTGAGCCCTTGGTATAAGCTCCTCATTTATCCCCTCCCTCCCCCACCCTCTCTCCTTCATGAATTCCTGGTAATTTATAAATTATTATATTTTCATGATTACACAACCCCTCCCAGAAGGGTCACAAGGAAGAGATGAGCCAGTCAGGGTGCAGTATGGCAGCGATGAAATACACAACTTTCCTCTAGTTCTTTAATGCTCTTCCCCCGGCCCCCCCTTATATTTCTACCTTACAAATCTGGCTACACTAGAGGATGTACACTGGTACAGATAAGAGCTGGAAACACAGGGAATCCAAGACAGATAAACCCCTCAGGACCAATAAAGAGACTAGTGATACCAGGAGGGGAAGGGGAAGGGGAAGGTGGGGGGAGAAAAGGGGAACCAATCACAATGATCTACATATAACCCCATCCCTGGGAGATGGACAACAGAAAAGTGGATGATGGCAAACATCAGTCTGTGTAAACTGTCTTTTAAAGATAGACTATAATTCCATTTCCCCACCCGCCCAGTTGGACAGATTCTGGACTGGACAGGAATCAAATGACCAAATCTTAAGTGTAACAGTTGATTGCAAACCACCTATGCCACCCAGTTGCCTTGTATTGAGCTCTACTAGTCGAATAAAATATATCTATCACATACTTAGGATCCCAGGTGAGGGTGTGGTTACATGCTGGGCTGCTGATTTCAAGGTGAGCAATTTGAAACCATTCAGATTCATCCTCATTTGGAAGAAGCATTCTGGCTGTACTTTTTTGAAGCAGATTTGTTTGTTCTTCTCCATGATACTTTCAATTAAAGTCATAATAAAATGCAACTCTGTACATACTGTAATGGCTACAGTCTTACTGTAAACAAGGCCAAGAGGTAAGAATGTGGAGAAAAAGACAATTTCTGACAGGTACAGCCAAGGTGAGGGAAAAAAAGTAGTCTGGCTGTTTTAAACACTTACCCTTGTATTTAGTATAAAATCTAGCCATTCTAATCCTATTTATCTTGCCAAAAGAAATGAAAACATATTCGGAAAATAGCTTGCTTGTGACTGCCCATAGAAAATCATACTTTATAGCAAAAGTGCAATGAAGATTTTAAAAGCAAGAGAAATGTCAAACAATGACTGAATGGATAAACAAAATGTGGCATATGTGTTCCAATGGAATACTAATTAATCATTTTAAAGGCTTCAACTACTGGTACACTCACCACCAAAACATTTCAGGTGAGAGAAGCCAGAGATAAACCCAATTCGTATACGACATTTCTAGAAAAGAAACAGCTACATAGATTGAAAACCTATCAGTGGTTACTTAAGGCTGGCTGTGGCAGGGATGATTGATTGCAAACAGCCACAGGAAATCTTTAGGGGATGATGTGAATGTTCTAAACCTAAAATTTGGTGATAGTTGTACAAATCTCTAAACTTACTAAACAACATTGAAATGTAGAATTAAAATAGGTGAATGGTGCTTAATTCAGTAAACCTGTTAAGAAAACATGCAGGGTCTCAGAAGTCTATGTACATTTGTAAAAATTCGGCAGATGAATTTTAATATTAAAAAGTAAGGAAATTGATTAGGGTTAAAACCATGGATTTTCAGTGTGACTCAGGATGTCAGAGGAAATGTAATTAATCATTGCGGTCTAGACATCACTGCGGGCTTTCTCCTAAATCTATCAGCCCAAAACATAGAATAAAAGAAAACAGAAAGTAAACGTTATAGTAATAGGGAATACTAACGAAGTGATTCCCTCTACTATGAAACATATTTTACTTGTAAATTAAGTTTCTTCTTCATAACGGTTGATCTGAGGCAAAGTGCCTGAGAGAAGGTTTTCGTGTTCCCTTGGGAAGAGAGATGAGACTGTCTACTCCTGTACAGATTTATGGTCTCAGAAACCCTACATAAAGTGGTGCGAGTTGAATGGATTTGGTGTTGGTTTTTCGTTGATGATATGAGTAGTTATCGTGTAAATTCTTGAGGTATAGGTGGAGTCTGAGCCAGGAAATAAAAACTAGGAAGGTAACATTTAGGAGAGAGAAAAAATGTCTAGCTTCTTTTTGGATCTTGATTTTGAAAAGTCTGGGAAAAGGAGACATGCAGGCATGAAGTAGAGATTGCAGAAGGTTACTGACAATTACAGTTAGATTAAAGATGCAGTTATAATAAAGATAAAAATGATTTCTGCTGGAGACCCACGAACCCTGAAAGAACATTTTTAAAGAAACAAACCTTCGCAGTCTATTTGATTCCATTAAAGTCAGTTTTCTCAGAACACGATACAAGATTCAAATATGAAAAAAAGTTTTCCCCACCAGTCATCGATTGTTTTCCCATTAACTTATTAAATCAACAGTCATTGACCAACATTGATCTATAAATTGCCCCTTAGTGTCACTTCTGGACAGGCCTAACAAATCAAAAGTTTGGGATCTATAGTGTTTTCTGAATGGCTTCTCAGGAGATCTCCCTGTGAATGCCCCTTTCCACTACCATGTGCCTAGACATTTAGTAAGTATGTGTTTATTTTTATATAGTCACAGTTAATTGTATTGTCCTTGTCAAAGTGTCTGTAGGTGGTATTTTTATGTGCTCTGTCATGATTTCTTCGTGTTTCTTATAACTCTGTTGCATTATAAGTATTCTGAAAACACAGTATACAATTAAAACCAAAAACAACAGTGGTCATTGAGCCCATCCTAACTCGTTGTGACCCTACATGACAGAGTAGAGCCTCCTCTTTGGGTTTCTAAGACCTCAAAGCTTGAGTGGGGCAGATCCACTGGAGGGCTCTAACCACTGACCTAACAGCGGCTCAGTGAGGAATCCCTATGCCAGCAGGGTTTCTTACACAGAATAAGGCACTGACCACAGGCAAGTCATGCAAACCATAAGACGAGCTTCCACATTTTGAGGACAATTGGTCGATTTTGGTTGGATTGATTTTATAAAGGAAGTCTGAACTTAATAAGCTATGAGAAAAATTAGTATAAATGAAACAGGAAATGATCTTATAAAGGTAAATCCATGGTTATAAATATACCTTGAGCTATAATTGGAATATTAAGTTTACTCAGTAAGTTAGTATATTTTGATCAGCTTTATGTTTCATTATTTGAAGAATCCAGCATAAAGTAAACTGCAGCATTAAAAGCCAGCCTCATTCCAATTTATTTTTATAGCACAGTGCAAAACAACCCAAGCTGAAAGTACATTCAGGCACTGAGACTTAAATCCCTATTGGGAAGAAAGCAGTTCCATAAACAGATGTGATCATGGATTCTGAGCTTATTTGCTTGTGGCAAAAATAAAAACACCAACTCAATAAGTTTTAATTTATAGGCATCTACACCAGAAAGCCTTTGGGCACTTTGAACAAACCTGACTAAAAATAAAATTTAGTAAAATAAAACCTAATCTTCCCTATTCTCTAATAGCACCAGGGAATGTAAATTTCCCAACTGGATAGTGAGGAGATTTCTCTCCCTCCCCTAGGCCCTCTCATGATTGGGGCTATAACTACTTGACAATAGAATCTTAAGATCGGATATGTTCTGGACCACGTCAAACGTGATAGGAGCTCAGGGTGCCCATTCTACCCTAGAATGTCTCCATGTACCCATGGTGTGACCTGTGGTCATGCATACCTGAAGAGATATTTTTGTTCTCGATAACTGAAAAATGTATGTGCCCTTTTTTTTTTTTCACAGCAAAACTATCAATCCACACAAAACTAACAAACTCATTGCCTTTGAGTTGATTCCAACTCTTAGCAAGACTCCAGGGCAGCGTATAAGAGCCGCACGGGCTTCCCAGGCTGTATACTCTTTATGGAAGATAACTGCAGAGCTTTCTCCAGCACAGGGGCCGGTGGGTCCGGACAGTCAATCGTTCAGTTAGCTGCTGAGCACTAATCACTGCACCAGCAATGCTTATCTGTTAAAAATGTTATATAATCTGGGCTGAGAAGTAGCCATATTCAAAATATATAAAGATAGATAACATGTAAACTGTTCTACATCTGAAAAGCAGCAAATTCTATGAACTCTCCTATTCTACCCTTGGGCATACAACGTACTGAAAATCCTGATTCGAGCAGAATATAAACGAGAGAAAGTAAAGAGTAGGGGATGGTGATCCTGATCTTGACCCAAAGGACCGCACTGCAATGCTTACCTCACATTTTGTTCTTCCAGCGTCTCGCTTGTGAATTCCAGTATGTCAGCAGCTGTTCCCACAAACATGAGGAGAAGTTGAGAGAGCTGGTCCCTGGTGATCCCGCCTCCAATGGGGAGAAGCCATCTCCCAATGATTAGCATTAACAGGAATGTCTGGTGGAGTCCCAAGGTCCAAACTTTCTCACACACTGTAGACAAGTTATTTACAAACACCTTGGCCTGTTGAGCAGAAAGGTCAGACATTCAAAGAGTATGTATGCAGCGTCTACTCAGCCAGAGATGCCTCCCTCCCGGTCACGCCCTGTCAACAGGTAACTTGTGGGGAGAAGCTTTTTCGGTAGTTCTCCTTTACTTACTAACAGAAGCAAAACGCTTTTCAACTGGTTTTTTTCAATCTGAAAAAAGCAACCAGTGTAATCCTCAAGATGAGGCGGCCTTAAAACCAGTAAAAAGTCTTAAACGTACATTTGCTACTGAGATTGTACAATACCATAATGCTACAATTTTATAATCAAATACCTAAATTTTGTTTAAATTTTTAGTCTTATCCAACTCTGCAATGTAGTAAAATGGATAGCAAATTTTTAAAGAAAATAAACGTTAATGTCACAAAAGAATCATGAAGTTTTCTTTATTGATTTCAAATCTGAATTTATTAATCTGGGAATACTTTGACCAATTCCAAAATCTTCTCTTTTTTTATTGCTTTAAAATCCCTACAGGACCAGTGGTGTGAGTGGTGATACTGGGAGGGTAAAGGGAGAATGGGTAGGAAAGAGGGAACCAATTACAAGGAACTATATGTGACATCCTCCCTGGGGGACAGACAACAGAAAAGTGGGTGAAGGGAGACATAGGACAGAGCAAGATATGACAAAATAATAATTTATAAATTATCAAGGGCTCATGAGGAAGGGGGCAGTGGGGAGGGAAGGGAAAAATGAGGACCTAATGCTGGGGGCTTAAGTAGAGAGGAAATGTTTTGAGAATGATGAGGGCAATGAATGTACAAGTGCGCTTTGCACACTTGATGTATGTATGGATTGTGATGGGAGTTGTATGAGCCCCTAATAAAATGATTTTTTTTAAATTTAACTCTTATCTAATTAGGGAAAAAATTACTCATTATTTAAAAAGGTAAATAAAGATAAGAATGATACACTCATTGTTTTATTCTGCATATTGAATTGTTCTGTTCACAAAGAGCTATGCGAGTCTGTCAGGTAAGCACTGTGCTAACTGGAAGTCAGCGGATCAAAACCATCAGTGTCAGCTCCACAGGTGAAAGATGAGTTGATTCTGCCTATTCCCCAAAAGATTGACTACCTCTGATGCCCCTCTAGATGCCACTCTAAGTTTGAATTGAGTCAATGGCAGTGGGTGTTTGGTTATTCAATCCCACAGAATCAACTCCCTTTTGAAAGCATGGCTTAGTGTTAGGGGCCTTGACCTTGAGTATCTCCTTTCCATCATTTTCTAACAAGCCATGGTTAGTGTGCTAACAGCAAGCATCCACAGAACACAGGAAGTGACTCCAGTGTGGCCTCAATTCTTACTAATTATGTTAATATGTACACTTCAAAATATACAGGACAGCTGTCAGTCTTTTAATTATAGAATTCTTTCACAAATATGTCTCCGTGCATATATTGTCTGATCTATGTGTTACAGCTTCTTAGTGCTGCAGGTTAAATATATTTATTAACCTAATTAGATGATTGTGCATTCCTTATATATGCGATATATATCTATCTTATATAAATGCCTTTGCCTCAACCCCAACTCATGACCACCCCATGTACTTGAGAACAGAAACGTGTGCCCCTGGGTTTTCAGTGGATACATTTTTTGGAAGTGATTGCTAACCCCTTCTTCTGAGACACCAATCTTTTGGTTAGCAGTCAAACACATTAGCTATTTTCACCAATGACGGTGTCGTTGGTATATGCATAACATAGAATAGGGAATAAACATTCATAATGCTATTCATGTTCAATGTTTAATGACATAAGAAGTATAATTAATTTATTACTTTATGCACTAAATTAAGTAACTGGCAAATTGCTTAGGAAAGAACGAAGTGACAGGTTCCCTACTTGCTAGAGTGGCTATCACTCCACAGTGAGCAAAGCTCTTACCGTCTCGATGATATCTCCATTAATTACTTGACTTGACATCAAAGTTTCATTGAGGTCTTCTCTTCTACTAGTATTCTGAGACATTTCTTCTTGTGGGCTATTACAATACTAAGAATTGAGGACAGAAAAAGCAATATGGAAAACAACAACAACATCAAAGTAAAATTTAAATGACTTCAATCTACCCATGAGATTATATTTTAATGTGGAGTTTCAAATAGAATGAATAAACATTTTCAAAAATACAAATATAGGCTTCAGATAGAAAGCCATGTTCTAACTGATCAGTGAAGAGAATAAACCAAGCATGTCATATTTATCCATACGTCTATGAGTCAGTGTGCAAAGCTGTAAGGTTTATGGATTGACAATTGGGGTACCCTTCTTAAGCACAGATGCAACTGTAAACAAAATCGACCCCAGCAAAACCTGCATAACGCACTCAAAAGCATTCATTCTAAGACTCTGTTTCGTGGACAGAAGCCCTTTTTTGTAAAACAACATTTTGCGTAAGTAAATAAGCCAATTACTCCGCATCGTGCCTGATAGCACCGTAACAACCAGAAAATGATCATGATCATCTACCAAAATATATGCTTTTATGTCAGTTTAGATGCCAATTTAGATTGATGGAAAATTTGACAATGGGACTGAAAGAAATGTTCTTTTCCCCCCTTCTTTTTTTTCCATTTTGCATGTGAATTTCTGCTATTGAACTCTGTATGATCTTTCTCTAGCCAGATGCTGGGCATTGGAGCTAGAGATCAGGAAGGAAACAGTTTGTAGGAGAGGTAAGAGGGGCAACTGGAATATGTAACTATAGTTAATACATATGTCATAAGTTGGATATATATACATATATGTATACGGAGATTTTGATAAACATCTGCAGTGCTAATATACTTGCCAAACACACACATTCATAATCACACATTTTAAATTAGATTTTTTTCATGTTAAAGCTGTAGAACCATATTTTTCTTAATCATCCTACATACTTCATTGGTCATTCTATGGGCTGTGTGAAGAAGAAAAGGGAGTCTGTCAGAAGTTATTTTTACCTACTCTATCAAAGCAACTAGTGCTCTGGATAAAAGGGCAAGAATAAGTCAGAAAAATGGTCAAGAACCATGTCTCTATGAGCCAAAATACAGCTGTTTGCATATATTTTTAATGTGTGCTTTCTAGATCCCCAAGGAAAAATAATGAAGATAAAAATTAAATCTCGGCACCAAGCAACAAATCCTCATTGCAGAGCGATTTTTTGACTATCTAAGAACTGTAATGGTCAAGAGCAAACAAATGTTGGCCACTTCATTTGTCTGCATGAAAGCAGATCGCAGATTTAAAGTGGTGGCTTGATATCTCTGTCAGTATAATTGCCTAATAGATCATTATTTTGTTTAACTCAGTCAGTTCACTAGCCTGAGAGTCTGTAGTCTTGGTTTGGTTGGTTCTTGTCCATGGCTAATCTTCTAGGATCAACATCCAAGTCTCTCTCCAAGTGCTTTATTATTCTGCTTGTTATAAATTGATGGAACGCTTTTGAGTGGCAGCTACAGTACTTCTATTTGAAGATTTGCATCCCACCACCCATCCTGACTCAGAGTGCTTTTACAGCAAGATTATTTGCACTCAGGTTTGGATAGATGGGTACTTGTTGATGATCTGCACCCAACCATGCCACTCTCTCATGGGCTGTGTCATCGAAGTTTTTTAGCTTCAAAACAACTTGCTTTTGAAGAAAGCACAATTGTGACACAAGCAAGACCAAATGGTTTCTTTCTTCATTGTGCCATTTCATAAAGAGAGTCAACGGGCAGACATCACTTTTGTTTCCATGCATGCAGACCCCAGGCAGGTGCAGAACGAAGGCACTGCTTTGATCAACTAGAAGCTTCTTGAAATATATCGGGGCCCTTTGCAAATGCCAAATCATAGGTCAGAGCACTTAGGATGTGGAGTAAATGGAAACTGTGAAAGGAACCTGCATTCCTTTTTCCCATTATGAAAAATTCAGACCGTTTGATGCAAACTTCTCTAATACACAGAACACAGAACACATAGTGGGCAGTGTGGTTTAATGGACTATGGGGTCACGACCAAAATTCTAAGACCCAGCATTCCTGTTGATTAGCTGTGTGGCCTTGGGAAAATGACTTAACCTTTCTGAGCCTTAGGGCCCTCGGCTATAAAATAGAAATGCATGTACCAGGCCTAACTCATGGAGTTGTGGTGACCACAGATGAGAAATGTATCGGAAAGCACTTTGAAAACTATAAGGAATGATTGATTATTGTGATCATTTAAATTATCTACGTTAATGGACTACAGGGATTGTTACCTTCCTTTTATCTGCCAATTTTAATATGAAATTAGAATTTTTTGTCTCTCTCTCTCTCTCTCTCT